TGCAGATTTAACACTTAGAATTAGTTATTAAATCTTAAAAAAATAATAATGTTTACAGGGTGTCCGCGGGTTGTAAAAGGTATTAAAAGGTAGTAAATTAAGTTAGCAGAAATGAAGGCCATTAAAAAGTATTAAAAAGTAATAAACATCATCTGACGAGGTATTACATTTTCAAACCACTATCCAACTATGAGGGTTTTTTTCATTGTGGTAAGTGCAGGCCTATCTCCTAAAAACCGCGTGAATTTATTTCTATAAATTATATGTGCGAGTAGGACCGTAATGGTATCGATGATGTGTCAGACAGTGTGCGACGCGGTAAAACTATTTGTGCCTCAGCGGATAGCTCACGGCTGACGAAGTCATGGGACCTCTGGTTAGAGGACTCGAGATTCAAACACTGGCTTCGGTCAGTAGTTGGTAACAGCCGAGAGGCTTATTGCCACGTCTGTAAAAAGACCATGAATATCAGCTGGATGGGAGTGAATGCCGTCCGGTCACACATAGAGTCTAATAGCCACCAACAGGAATGTGCAGACGTAGTGAGCAACTACCAATTTCAATGTTCTGCGCTAGTGCGACGGCTACATCACCGCAAACCTCCACCGCTCTCCCACAAGCCACTGCCAGCGGTAGGCCTACCAGGACCGTGAGTAGACCTGCGACAGACGTCAGACAGCAAACTCTCTGCCCCACTTCAACGTTGCGAGCTGAGGTTCTGTGGTGCCTTAAAACAGCGACTAAACACCACTCATACAACTCCAATGAGGGGATAGGAGAGCTCTTCCAGAACATGTTTACTGATTCAGAGATAGCTAAATCCTTGGCGTGTGGCAAGGACAAGACGAGCTACATCATCAAATTTGGCACAGCACCATACTTTCAGAAGAAACTAGTTGCAAGTGTCAACAAAGCTGGACCGTTTGTCCTCTTGTTCGACAAAAGTCCTAATACATGTTAAAAAAAACCAGATGGACATACACGTTCGTTTTTTGGAGGATGGTTGTGTGACATCAAGGTATTTTGGTTCCGAATTCCTGGAAATGCGAGGGCAGATGACCTGTTGCAGTTGCAGATCTCTCTCTCTCTCTCTCTCTCTCTCTCTCTCTCTCTCTCAAAACTTTTTAAACCTTTTCTGATTTTTATTTGTCATTTTGTCTTCATTGAGATAGAATGATAGTGAAAGAAAGAGTGTAGCGCTGGAGAAGTGGTGTGTGCTCTTCCTACACATCACAGTGAAATCATTTTTTGTCTTGGGTTAGGATTAAATAACAAATAATTGTGTATAGGTCAGTGTTTTTATTGAGGCAAAAAGGAAACAAAGTATCCAGTAATAATAGCTACTTGATTTGAATTGTAAGCATTACTACACTAACTCACTCAGAAAGTTAAGTAACAAAGTAACAGTAATCCGTTACTTTATAATTAGTTACCCACAACACTGAAGTTCGAAAGGTTGCCACAACAGTTGCAGCTCGAAGTCGTGTTGGTATTAAAAAATATTGTGAAGGTATTAAAAAGGGTATTAAAAGGTATTCAATTCAACTGAAGAATTTCTGTATATACCCTGAATAATGAAAAGTGGCTTTATAATTTTTTTATATGTTGTCAGTTAAATCAATACGTTGTAAGATCTGTGGTCAATATGGACCCGGATATTGTTCTAATCCAAAGAAACAAACAAGGTCAACAACAGCCAGCAGCCAATATAACTGAGTTGTCTAACAGACAGAAGGCGAGCTCGTCCGTCTGCTGCTGTTCTCTTTAGACAACCTCTAACAGCAGCTCCATTCTGAAGTGGTGCAGTTTATCTTTATGGATGATATTGATCTGTGATCAGTATTAGGTCTGGGTAAAAAAATCGATTTAATCGATTTTGGATTGATTTCATTTAAATTTTGCAATATCACTAACATTAGCAGCCGATTCTCCGCGGGGCCATAAAGGCCATCGCAACTGTTGTTTGCAAAGATTTTTGCGCTTAAAACTGTTGTTTAAGGTGAAGAGAAAAAATACAGTACATTTGTATTTTGTAACACAGTTGAGCCATTTTCATTATCGAATCGTGATTAATCGATTCAGAACCTTATGAATCGAAATCGAAACGATTTAGGAAATTGTCCACGATACCCAGCCCTAATCAGTAACACTGTATCTTTATGGACGATATTGATCTGTGGGTTATATGCTGCTGATTCTCCCTCTGTAGGATAATATTGATCGGTATATCGGCTGCATTTAGTGGATTGAACTAGTTATTTACAGTTGTCCTCTCTGCAGGTGATGGAGGAGGTGATGGAGGAGGTGGGGGTGCAGAGTGCTCTGCTGATGGAGTGTGATGAAGAGGAGCCTCAATCACCCGAAATAGAAGAAGAAGAAGAAGAAGAAGGAAGAAGAAGAAGGAGGAGGAGGAGGAGGAGGAGGGACATGGTGGAGGTGAGGAGTTAAAACAGATCCTCAATGTGTTTTAGTGCCGATACATTTTAATACCAAAACAAAA